TTCATGTCATTAGCACCTCTAGTAATATATTTACTGAGAAAAATGGTGACGTGTTCAATACTTATTTTACCCGCTGTATATAAAATCACAACATGAAAAACAAAACAAAGATTAAAAACACTAAAACCAATAAAAATACAGTAAAAATACACAAAATCATACCAAATTACTGCTGTCAAAGCTGTTTGGGTTGTCAATAAGCCCTTATTTATTAGGGTTATTGACAGACAAGTAGTATTTGGGATGACAAATACAAGCCACCAGTGGTGGGCAGTACTAATCTAAAAATTAGTCGTGCTAACCCTAAAGCACTAACTTTAAAATTTAGGTTCCCTAATTCTAAAGCACRAACACTTAAAAATTTAGCAAAAGCTAATTCTAAAGCACTAAAAACCCAGCTGACCCATAGATCATTCCTCCGAGACAACATAACACAATATTTTCTGTGTACAAAATATTGTTATTTCATCTGGTGTAGTGGTTCTCAAAGTTGGGGCCAGGACCAAAACATCCAGTGAGGTTCCCCAGATGATTTCCAGACATCAATTTAAGTGCAAAAAAAAGGCTAATGGAAGATTTTCATCATGATTATTGCAATTTTTTGAAATAATCATAAATGAATAAAAACTAGTAAAATAGAAGTTTCATTTATAGTTATTATTCCCATGTTTAACAGTGTTATTAGCAAAGTTTGATACGTAAACAAGTAATAAATGGGGTCACGAGTGTCTGCAGCTTTTATTTTGTGGGTTGGAAGCAAAAAAGTTTGAAAACCCCTGATCTATAGTGGATAAGTGACACGCATATGAACAACACGCCTGGCAGCTGAGAGTGAATTAAGAAATTAGAAAAAGCCCTAAAGCACTAATCAGGAAATTAGTTCCCCTYTTAATGCTTTAGGGGAACTGTGCCCACTGCTGCAAGGTACAAATGTTTTATGGCTCAGAAGGTGAAAAGTTTGGGAACAAATGATATAGCCCRTTAAAAAAACCTACCTGTTAACTCTTTTGCCTCTTCTGCACTCAAAGAGAAAGCACGTTTCATCTCATCATCCGAGTCATCTGTTGAAGAACACCAGAAATATCTGCTGAAAACTTACTGGTAATAAAAAAAAATCTAATCCAGTGTGCAGTTTTTATTAAAGCTGCAAACAGGATGTAATCTGTTTAATAACTCGTTTACCTCCACATGCTTCTTTCTCACTGCTAGCCTGATTGTTATTCAAAAACTTCACCAGTGTTTCATCTTCCATCTCTGTATATTAAAAAAAAAACATCAAATACTGCACACACACAGAGATAAATAGAGGATTTAATTTGAAATGATTTACCCTCATCAGCTGCTTTGATCTCCACAGCATTGATTATTTTCACAGCGGCTGGTTCTTTGCTGCTGATCCTGGAGCTCACGCAGGGCTCCAGTCCACAGTGCCGGGAGTGATAGTGTTTGTGGAAACTCGGCACGCCCGTGAAACTCTCCCGGCACTCGTTGCATTCCACCTCAAAGGTCTTGTCAAGGTTCAGGGCCGCGTGTGTCGCGTGGACGTGCGTCTTCATCTGCGCGTAGGACGGCGCCGACACGCCGCAGGGAGCGCACACGTACCGACACCTCCCCTCAGCAGACAGATCTCTCATACAGCGAGTGAACGTCGCCTTCGTCTCGTCTCCGCTCCCCTCCGAGCCCATGCAGGCGCAGGTCGGCTGGATCGTGTCTTCGACTGCGGCGGCGGGCTGGAGGACCTCGGTGTCGCTCATGCAGCAGTAGTCCTCGCTGTGAAGGCTCCTGTAGTGCTCCAGGAACTCGCCTTCGGATCCGAAGCGCATGCTGTCGCAGAGGCCGCAGAAGTGGGAGCTCTTCATCTCCCCGCCGTGCTCGATGGCGCAGTGCCTCCTGACGGTGGACTCTTTGAAGAACCTCTGCGGACAGTGCCCGCAGACAAACCGCTGGAAGCTGTGGCGGCTCGCGTCGCCACAGTGTCTGCGGGCCTCCGCTTCCGAGTCGAAGACGTCCTCGCAGATCCTGCACATCCACGCGCAGCCCGCCTTTGAGGAKGATGTCGCCGTGGTGCTCGGAGGGGCTTTGGACGCCGGAGCGACCTCGCCGCTCGTGGAAGGCTTCGCGTCGAGAGCCGCGGTGAGGTCTTCTTTCTCGACYATGTACGTGTGACCGGCGTGGACCTCCGACACGTGCAGCAGGATGTCCTCGTAGCGGGGCATCTCCACGTGGCACTTGCGACACAAGAACAGGAAGTTGGAGAGGTGCGCTCCCCCGTGGTTGCGGCTCATGTGCAGGCGGGCGATGGAGGACTCCCCCATGTGTTTGCCGCAGACGCCGCACTGGTGGAAGATCTGGTTCGCGGCCAGGAGGTGCCTCGTGGCCGCGGCCTCCTCTGGAAACCGGAGGCCGCACTCGCAAAACCAAAAAAACGCTGAGTTCCCGCCGCTGCCGACCCTCAGACCAGGACTCAGCTTCTGCCGTTTGGCTGGAGATCCGCCGACGCCGCTCCTCTTGTTTCTTCTTTGAAAAGGCGTCTCGAGGCCACGCCCCGTTCTTTTCTCCTGCTCCTCTATCGTCTGAGTTTCATTAAACCTACAGTACTGCAGGAGCGCCCGAGCCATTGTTGGAGTGACCTCGACCTCGTGCTGCGTCGATTCTTTGTGCGCCTCGATGTCGGCGTGGCTGAGGAACACTTCGGAGCAGAGGCGGCACTGTCCTCGCACTTGAAGCCGCTTCATAAACCCCACGATTGTTTCGTCGGCCTTGGCCACGGCGCAGCCTTGTCTGCACCGCACGCTGAAACACGAAGAAGAGAAGCGCTAAACGTCCTTCACGTAAAACATACARGTGTGCATTTTTAAGTGATATAAGTAAATCATGATGAAACCTACTTAAAATGAGCTTGAGCTGCTTGATGTGAGATGAGCACTTTGTAGCACAAAGAGCACCGGACAGTGAACGCTACATCCTTGCACAAAGCGATGAGGTGGTTCTTAACCAGCTGTGGGATGGGAACCGGCTGCGCTGCTGCTTTGCTCTCTTTAAGGAAAACAAAAAAATTAAAACAAGTTCCGATTAGTTTATTTCTGGCTTGTTACTTCATTTTCATGCACAGGATGTACAGAACATACAGAAATGTGTATATTTAAGAGAATGATAAAGGTTCATTTGTTCGAGAAATATGTAAATGTATAATGTATGAATCGTTGCTCAAGGAGTTAAACCTTTATTATTTTTCTTTCTTTTTTGTTGTTGTTTTTGTAATCTGAAGATAATTTTAATTGAATTTATATATTTGAGAAAAAGGTGCAGATATAATAAGATTTTTTGCTTCTTCTGCTACCT